GAACCAGGCAGAAGTTGTACCCTTTTTATAGCTGAGCCTAGGATCTCCAGCATCCATCTGCTATGTTCTATTAGTTGGCTCGTCACAAGCCCCACCCCCCTTTCAAAAGGTGCAGACAGAGACCACCCCTCCCCACACACCCAGTGGGAAGAGTGTTAGCCACACTGTGAGGAGCACAGGGGTGGAGGACATACACGGGTGCCATCCTGGGAAGGGAAAATCGGTCACAGGCAGAATAATAGTTGTTGCCCCCGTTACTGTGCTACCTCATTGCCTGTGAACTCTCCCACTGTGTCTGTTAGTGACATTCTAGCCTCATTCCCACTTCAGATCGGAAACTGGGGCCCCCTGGAATTAAACCTCTTGCCTCAGGCTGCACAACGAGCAAGTGGTATGGCCAGAGCTCCAGTGTGGCTTTGTGTAACGCGGGGTGATTATTGGAAGGGTTAATGAGATCATACATGTGAAGAGCTGGAAACAGCGCCTGATACATAGTGCAGAGTGTGCTCTGCTGTTAAGAACAATATTGCTACTTTTGAGCCACCAGATGGAAACCTCTGCTCGAATGCTCAATATTGTAGTCTTAGTCTCTGAGCTGATTCCAGAACAAGAGAGCCAGTCCAGAGGCCCAGGTTGCAATATAGCCTGGTCCCAACCGTCTCCACTCAGGGACTGGACCCGAGTTTCTATGATGTCAGCCGGTCCAAACCCCCAGGAATCGTTTTCCAGTTTGGAGTACCCCATCCTCCCACTCCCAGGCCTCGAATGTCCAAAGTACTTCCTGCAGGGCCTCTCCCTCATCCAATGTTGTCTGACAACCTGAGTAAAACCTTTGATGGTACCGCTTATTGGGCTGGATCAAGGTCAGGTCCCCAGACTGAAAGGACATGGGAGAAAGTTTCATCACTGCCTGCAGGGTCCATTGGGAAATAACTTGCCCTAGGGGTTCCTGGAATCACGGAAGCATGACCCAGCTAGGAAGTGAGCAGTGTACCCCTTTCTGGGTCTTTCTCTGGCCACCTCTCAGCTTCTCAGCTTCCAGATCTTTGCTTCTAATTTCTGGAATTTTGCTATGAACGTGCACTCCTTGCATTATGAGTTATTTAATGTTTTTCTTGGAGTTGCTTCACATTGTAAACTTAAATAGGTTTATCTTAAAATGATGATTCTTGCCCTGGCCAGTTTGGCTCAGCTGTTAGAGTGTCGGCCAGCAGACCAAAGAGTCTTGGGTTTGACTCTGGGCAAGGGTATGTACCTCAGTTGCAGTTTGGTCCTCTTGCGGGAGGCAACCAATTAATGTGTCTCTCTCACCAATCAATGTGTTTCTCTCCTTTCTTCCCCTTCCCACTCTATCTGAAGATAAATGCAAAAATATCCTCGGGTGAGGATTTAAAAAAAAAAAAAAAAAAGAGGATTCTTTTTTATAAATCAAGGGCTTTAATAAAATACAAAAACCACTTGCTGCTCTAAATCAAAAGTAATTGTAAGAATACATAAAATAAAAATCAATCACCCTGGCCACTTTGGCTCAACAGTTAGAGCCACGGCCCATAGAACAAAGAGTCTCGGGTTTGATTCCTGGTCAAGGGCATGTACCTCGGTTGTGGGTTTGCTCCCTGGTCCAATCAGGGTCATGTGGGAGGCAACCAATCCATATGTTCTTCTCACATCAGTGTTTCTCTGTGTCTCTCCCTCCCTCCCACTCTATCTGAAAAAAAATCAATGGAAAAATATCCTCAGGTGAGGATTAAAAAAAAAACCAAATCAATCATTACTGTCCAATGTTGTCCAAAGTGTCTGGCTCTAAAGCCTTCACTGGCTGTTATGAAGAGAGTTGACCAAGTACTGAGGGATACTACCCTTCAGCTGAGACTCTCTCCATGGTGTAATGAAGAGTTAAAGAAAATTAACACAAGGAATAATTTTCACTCTGTAGAATTCAATGTTATTACTTAAAAGTTGTGTTGCCCTGGCCAGAGGGTTAGAGCTCAGCAGTTAGAGCATCAGCCAGCGGACCAGAGAGTCCCGGGTTTGGTTCCCGCTAAGGGCATGTACCTCAGCTGTAGTTTGTCCCTGGTCCCGGTTGGGGTTGTGCAGGTGGCAGCCACTCGATGTGTCTCTCTCACATCGATGTTTCTCTCTCTCTCTTCCTCCCTCTCTTGCTCCTGCTCTATCTGAAGATAAATGCAAGAATGTTCTTGGGTGAGGATAAAAAAAATTTAAATAAATAAATAATAAATAAAATAAATGCTGTGTAGTACAACATAATCTATCTTCTTCACTAGTATGCTTCCCACACCATGAGAAATATTCCACCATCTCATTAAGTCCCAACAACAGCTTCTTCCTCTCCTAGCCTTATTAGACTATCAGTAAGACCTATCAGCTCTACTGCCAAATATGTCAAGAATTGAATCATTCCTTACCACGTCTGCCACTACCACTCTGGTTTCAATCACTATCATCTCAGCCCAAGGGGTCTTTCAAATGAAAAGCATATTCACTAGGATAATCATCATAAAGAGCATTTACAAAACATGGCTAACATTATATTTAATGGTGAAAGACTGAATACTTTCTTTCTAAGATTGTGAACCATACAAAGATGTCCATTCTCACTATCTTATTCAACCATAGTGCTTGAAGTTCTAGCAAGTGCAATAAGACAAGGGAAGTAAATAAAGGGCATACAGATCAGGAAAGGAAGAAATTAAACTGTCTTTATGGTAGACAACATGACTGTGTATGTAGAAAGTCCCAAGGATTTGACCCCCCAAAAAAAACTCCTAGAACTAACAGATAAATTGAGCAAGATTACAAGATGCAAGATAAACATACAAAATTCAATTTTATTTCTGCGTACTAGCAGTGAACATATGCACCCTGCAAAAAAATAGAATACCATTTACATTGCTCAAAAAAATATAACACATGTAAATCCAGCAAAATATGTACAGGAATTTTAGGCTAAAACTGCAAAATGCTGATCAAAGAAATCAAAGATCTAAATAAATTGAGAGACATACCGTGCTCATGGATTAGACAAGTCAACATAGTAAAGATGTAAATTCTCTCTATATTGATATAGAAGTTTAATGTAATTCCTACCAAAATCCCAGCAAGAATTTTTGTAGATATAAATAAGTTTAAAGATTTACATGAAAATTCAAAGGAACTACAATCGCTACAATAATTTTTTTTTAAAAGAATAAAATGAGAGGAATCAGTCTCCCCAATTTAAAGACTTCTTATATACTTACAGTCATCAAGACTGCATGGGACTGGGAAAGAGTCAATTAGATCAATGGAACAGAATTAAAAAATCCAGAAATAGATCTAGTCCATATGCCTGATTGGTTTTTGACAAAGGTACAAAAGCAGTTCAATGGAGTAAATAAAACTTTGAACAAATGTTGCTGCAGCAATTGGTCAATGATAGGGAAAAAGAAAAAGAAGAAAAAAGAAAAACCTAAGTCTCACACCTTATGTAACAACTAAGATATGAACTTAAATATAAACAAAATTATAAATTATCACATGCCTAGAAAAAAATGTGAGAAAAATCTTCAGCATCCAGGGCTATGCAGAGTTTGACACCAAAAACATGATATAAATTTTTTTGATAAATTTGATTGCACCAAAATGACAAATATTTGCTCTGTGAAAGGCTGTTAAGAGGATGAAGAGACTGGGGGGAAATTATCTGGCAAACAACATTATCTGGCAAAGGAATACTGTCTAGAATATATAGAGTATTCTCAAAATGCACCAGCAGAAAACAAACAGTCCAGTTAGAAATTGGGTAAACAACAGGAAGAGATAATTCACCAAAGAGGTCATGCAGATGGCAAATAGAGTCACAGAAAGATGTTAATCATCATCAGCCATTAGAAAAATGCAAATTAAAACCACAATGCAATATCTCTACACTTCTATCAGAATGGCTAAAATATATTAGTGACAGCCGGGCTGGTGTGGCTCACTGGTTGAGTGGTGACCCATGCAACAAGAGGTCCCTGGTTCAATTCCCGGTCAGGGCACATGCCCAGGTTGTGGGCCCGATCCCCAGTGTGGGGCGTGTAGGAGGCAGCCTATCGATATTCCCTCTCATTGATGTTTCTATCTCTCTCTCCCTCTCCCTTCCTTTCTCTCTGTAAAATCAATAAAGAAAAAATATTTTTAAAAAACCCCCAAAACACCACCAAATGCTGGCAAGAAAGTGGAGAAACTGGATCACCAACAGAAATGTACAATGGTACACACACTCTGGAAAACAGTTTGGCAGTGTCTTAAAAAACTAAGGATTCAACTACCATACAACCCAGCAGTTGCACTCCTGTGCAAATTTTATCCAAGAGGAAGGAAAGGACTCCTCTAGGCTCCGACCTACAGATGACGCCCCACCCTGGGAGAAAATCAAAACAATGTTGACAGCAGCGGCGGTAACAATATTTCCCACCGAGGGAAATATTGCTGTGTGCCAGGCACTGTGCTGAGACCATGAAGTACATTATCTCATTTAAACTTCCCCACAGACCTCTTGTCTAGTAGTGACTCTTATTAGCATCCCTATCTAGAGGGGTAAACTGAGGCTCAGAGACCGATGCTCCAGCCCACACAGCTAGCGTGAGGCAGAGCAGAATTGGAACCCTGGTCCTACTAGTAAGTGCTTTAGCCCTCACGCTGTCATTACCGCACAATTCACAGGTGTCCAAACAGTGCCAGGGCAGATTAGGCCAGTTGGCCCGCATCACCTAACTGGGAAACCAGGCTTCATCCAGAGGACAAGCCGCCTTCAGACCGGAGTCCACTTCGTTAGTTATTGTGCCCAACTTGCCCTGACTCTTCCCGGCCTCTTTCACCCAGTCCCGGGGCAGGCACCACCCTGTTTCTCCCAGAGGTGTAGGGAGAGGGCGGGCCCCACGCGCAGTCCCTCCCCGGCCCCTCCCCCGGCTTTAAGTGGGCGCGTGGGCCGGAGCCCGCAGTCCCGGGCTGGCCTCTGCCCCCGCGATCGCACGGATGGCGGCGCTGGCGGCCTTGGCCAAGAAGCTGTGGAGCAGCCGGCGGCTGCTGGTGCTGCTGCTCACGCCGCTGGCGCTGCTGCCGGTGGTCTTCGCCCTGCCGCCCAAGGTAACGCCTCCTCGGCCTGTGAGCTCCAGTCCCGCCCCCCGGGCAGCGTCGCAGGCAGGACCCTCTCCGCCTAAGCCTGAGACTGGGGACCGCTGAGGTCCTGGTCGGGACAGATTTCACCAGACCCCCTCTGCCGCCTCCTCTTTATCTGCTGCTGCGAACGCCCCTAACTCCTTCCCCCCTTTCCCAGCTGCAGCTCGGAGCCCGAGGCCACCCAGCTTTCTGCGTCTTCTCCCTTCCACGGGGGTGATTCCTCCTTATTGAGCTCTAACTACAGGCTGTTGCACACTTCACTTGGTATTCACAGCGAACACTTAATGCCAAGCGGTGTGACCTGGGGCAAGTCACTTACCTCTCTGGGAAATGGTAGTGCCAATCCATAGGGTCGTAGTGTATATTAGATGAGGCAGTACAGTCATGTGCCCGGTGAGCATGAGGATGTTTGGGTAGCATTTACGATGATGGTCCTGTAAGATTGCAGTGGGCAGAACATTTTCTATTGCCTAAGTGACATGTAGCCATCCTGCGGTCACAAAACACAAGCCAGTTTAGAAAACACTTACTAGGAGCAAGGTGCAGCCCTAAGCTTTGCCTTATATATTTCGTCTCATTTAATCCTTTCTTCTTTTTTTTTTTTTTTTGGTATGTTCCCTTAGTGGGAACCGAACCCGGGACTCTCTGGTCAGCAGGCCGATGCTCCAACTGCTGAGTCAAACTGGCCAGGGATAATCCTTTCTTTTATTAAAATATTTTTATTTTTTAATTACAGTTGACTTACAATGCTGTATTACTTTCAGGTGTATAGCCCAGTGATTAGACATTTATATAACTTATGAAGTGATCGCCCCCGGTAAACCTGTACCCATCCTCATGTGTTTGTGGTGATGCCAGTCATATAAAAGTACAGCTCATGCAATCATGGACAGTACGTAATACTTTTTTTTATATATATAATTTTTTTATTGATTTTAGAGAGAGAGGAAAAGAGAGGGCGAGAGATAGAAACATCGATGAAAGAGAACATCAATTGGCCACCTCCTGCATGCCCCCCACTGGGGATCTGGCCCACAATCTGGGCATGTGCCCTGACCAGGAATCTAACTGACGACCCCTTGGTGCATGGGTCGACGCTCAACCACTGAGCCACACCGGCTGGGCACAGTTTGTAATACTTGATAATAAACCACTATGCTACTGGTTTATTCATTTACTATTGTCAATATAAGAAACATCCACACCGGTAAAGAACTTTTTAAGTTGAATTTATTGGGGTGACCTGGGTTCACAAAGCCATACAGGTTTCAAGTGTGCAACTCAAAACATCATCTGCACACTGCATCATGCCCTGATCACCCCAAGCAAAGTCTCTCTCCGTCCCCATTCCCCCCTCCACCTCATCCCCACCCTTCTTTTCCTCCCGCTATTACCACACTGTTGACTGTGTATGTGTATATATGTTTTTTGGCTAATGCCTTCACCCTCTTTGATCCAGTTTCCCCAGCTCCCTCCCCTGTGATAGCTGTCAGGCTGTTCCGTGCATCCATGTTTCTGTTTCTATTTTGTTTGTCAGTTTATCTTAGTCACTGGATTCCACATATAAGTGCGATCATATGGTATTTATCTTTCTCTGACCAGCTTATTTCACTTAGCACAATAATCTCCAGGTCCATCCATGCTGTTGCAAAAGGTAAGATTTCCTTCTTTTTTACGGCTGTGTGGTATTCCATAGATAATTTTTATGACTTTATTTGAGCCAAACCGATGACAATTGCTGGGAAGCAGAATCTCAACAGACTGAGAAAATGCTCTAGAGAATGGTAATTTTACAGTTTATTTGATAGATTAGACTCAAAGGAGGCGACATGAGGGGGTGTTCATGAACTTTATTGGTGGTAGATTAGGGAGTTGGGAGACAGCACAGCGGGGACATCTCTGAGATTGGATAAAGATGGAGAGACACATGCTTCTTTTACACTGGTGGGTATGGGACAGTTAACAACGAACATTCACGGCACTTGGACATGGTATTCGAAGAACCAGAGAACATGAGGGGCTCATGATCTTGTGCTCTGGTGAGAAATTGTGCCTGAGGGGTCTGGATATTCTGACATTCCAAAGGCATCTTATCATAGATGCAGAAAGACAATAGACAGGCTCACTTGAGGTCAACAGTGACCTTTGTCAAGGAAGCTACGTGCCCAGGACATGATTACCTGCCGTGACTCACTTTTAGTTAGGAATTTTTATGTTCAGTTCGTCCTCTGTGGTTACGTTAGGTCTCTGAGTCTGTAAACCTCCATGCAGGCCTCCCTAGGCTTGTCAGCTTTAGTCTGTGGCCCCTTTTTGGCCCATACTAGATTATACTTTTGATTGTTATTTTTTTTTATTTTTCTTTTTTATTGATATTAGAGAGAGAGCGAGGAAGTGAGAGGTGGAAACATCGATGAGAGAGAACATCGATTGACTGCCTCCTGCAAGACCCCCACTGGGGATCGGGCCCACAACCTGGGCATATGCCCTGACCGGGAATTGAACCAACAACATCTTGGTGCATGGGTCAACACTCAACCACTGAGCCGCTCTGGCTGGTTTGGCTCAGCGGTTAAGAGCATCATCTCCCATGGACCAGAGTCCCAGCTTCGATTCCGGCCAAGGGCACGTACCTCGGTTGTGGTTTGTCCCCGGCCCCGGTTGTGGTCATGCGGGTGGCAACCAATCAATGTGTCTCTCTCACATTGATGTTTCTATCTCTCCCTCTCTCTCTTTTCCTTCCTCTCTCCCTCCAGCTCTATCTGAAGATTAATGTAAAAATATCCTCAGGTGAAGATTAAAAAATAATAATAATAAGTTTGCACCCTGGCCGGGTGGTTCAGTGTCAATGTTTCTCTCTGACATCAATGTCTCTCCATCCCCCCCCCCCCCCCCCCCGCCGACTCTCTAAAATCAATAAGGAAACATATCCTCAGGTTGGGATTAAAAAGAGAAGGTTGATGTAAACAGTAAGCGTGTTACGCCAGCAGAAACTTCATACATCTCGTGTTTACGGTCCCTTGATTATATCATAGTCCCGTGTGCTTGATCTAATCTCGTGTCGTTTGTGTGGTGACCTGCTGTACAGGCTTGTAGCCCCGGAGAACTAGGCTAGACCACGTAGCCTAGGTGTGCAGTGAGTGGGCTGTGCCACCTTGGTCTGTGGAAGTGCCCTCTGTGATGTTTGCACAATGATGAAGTCGCCAGAAGAGACATTTCTTGGAACATATTCCCGTCGTTAAGTGGTGCATGACTGTATATGTAAACCTCTTAGAACTAAGCCTGGTATACAGTAAGTGCCCAATAACGCACCTATGGGACTTAATCCAGGCACCTTGCATGATGGGGACAGCCAAGTGTAACAACACGGACTAGGGGCAGCGCTAAGCTTTGTGCGTGCTTCATTCAATCCTTTCTTTTATTAACATATTTAAAATTTTTTTCAATTACAGTTGACATGCGGTATTATATTAGTTTCAGGTGTACAACCCAGCGATTAGACTTTTATGTAACTTATGAAGTGATCACTCTGATAAATCTGGTGGTACCCATCTGACCATACATAGTTATTACAATATTATTGACTATATGTATGCTGTATTTGACATCCCCATGACTATTCTGGAACTACCAATTTGTGCTTCTTAATCCCTTCACCTTCCCAGTGCCCCTCACAATGAGGATTATTTACCCCATTTTCCAGAGAAGAAAAGTGAGCCTCAGAGAGATGAAGTGACCTGCTCAGAATCACACAGCAAGCGGCGGAGTGGGGCTTCGGTCCCTAGCCAGTCAGAACCCAGAGCCCGAGCTGTTTCCAGACTCTCAAAGAAAGTCTTGAAGATCAAGAGAGATCCAGACTGATGTCAAGGGTGTCAGATGAAAATCACTCCCATGGGGACTGACAGGAGATGTACCACAGCATTCTGTGGGGTCCCTCACCTGTGCCCAGTCCGTCTGAGGCATCATGGGAGGGCACTAGGTTGTTTCACCATCCCTTAATGAGATAGTAAACGTTCATAAAAGTAAAAGTAAGGAGAGGGTGAAACTTAGAGGTGCGTTACCCAGCACCCACCAGCAGAGACCGGGGAGCTGAGACAGGTGTTCAGAGAGGGCTGCCTGGAGGAAGGGGCCCTCCGTGGGCCTAGGGAGTGAGGAGGTGATACTTGGTGGTACCGAGGGGATCCAGAGCTAATACCCAAGCAAGTCCCTTAGTGTGGAATTATACAACTAGACTTTCCAATTAGACTTTCTTGACATAGAAAAGGAAAACAACAAATGCTGGAATAGGATTCCATCCAGGTGTTACGGAGCCTGAAGTATGTAGTATTTGAGGGGCTCTATGTAAGCAAAAGCATACAGATGTACAAATGCAAGATTCAGCGTGGGGTCTGGGAAGGGGGTGTGAAGCTTAAGCTTCATTAGCTGTACAGTGAATCTCCTCTACAAACCCCGGGTGTACAGGTAACGGGAGTGCCTGTAACCCCTGCGATGGTGGTAGCCTGGTGAGACATGTTTTATTGAATGCTTAACTCTTACTATGTGCCAGGCACCATGCTAAGAGCTTGGCAGGCATTGTTCCATAACCAAGGAGGCAGCTGTTATTAGCATCCCTATTGAACAGGTGAGCAAATGGAAGCTCAGCAAGGTTAGGTGACTTGCCCAAGGTCACACAGCCTATACAAGTCTGGAGTACAACGTCTAATCATTGCACTTTATACTCTTCCCTTCGTCATAAATGAATGAAAATCTCCCCCTGGTTCCCTACAGATAGAAGGCACCCTCTGGTGGCCCTAGATGTCACTCACAAGGAGGCAAATCTGGCTTTTTGGGAGATCTTAGCCTCCTTCAAAATCTCTATCAGGCGGGTGTGGCTCAGTGGTTAGAACATTAACCTGTGTACTGAAGGGTCTCAGGTTCGATTCTGGTCAAGGGCACGTAACTGGATTTCGGGTTTGATCCCTGGCCCCCAT